AGTGGAGCTAAGTGACTTGGCCAGGTCCTCACAGGAAGCTTGGGGCAGATGGAAATTAAAAACAGACCACCTGAATCCCAGTCCAGTGTTGTCTTTATACACAAGGCCATGCTTTCTTTAAAGCATAAACACATGCTGGCAGAAATGGAGATGGCTGACAAATGTCTGTTTCCCTGCTTAGTGAATCAATGTGTATACATGTTGGGCCAAATTAATTGGTGAGCTTACATGGGAGAGAATTTGGCCCTTTGTGCCCACTGTGTGCAGTGGCTTTAGTACGCTTGCTTTTATCTCCCATTCAGTTTACCTCTACTGAATCTGTCACTTCTTAGCAATATTTTTCTATGTTTAAACTGACTGCTAGTTATATTTGGATTTCAATTTTATTGAATCCCCCTCTGCTGCACCCCCCTGCCCCCAATAAAGAGAGAATGGGGGCGGGGGGAAGAGGAGAGCAACACCTCAGTTTCCTTCTGCTAGGAGTTAACCAAACATTTTTTAAAAGTTAGACCAAATCTTTTCGCTTTTTGTCTGAGGTTCCTCTGCCCCAAAACGTTACCTGCTCTTTAGTGGTCAGGTCAGCCAAGTGGCTGTGCCAAGCCTCTCTCCCTGGAGGCAGTCTGCTCTTCAGTCTAAGAAGGATGAGTTCTTTAGCTACAAGCGCTTGAGAAATCTTTAAGTTCTTTAAGACTTAAATCCAAAGAAGTGTTTCGTGGACTAGGTTACCAAATGTCACCTATCAGACAGTATTTGGCCCTTCTTTTCTGAAAACATGGATCAGATAATGTCAATTACCAGGTTTAGGTAGTTAAAATATGTGCCTAATCTCAGGCTGGTTACCAGTGAAAATGCACAATGCTTGACAATCTCGGCGGAGACCCCCTAGGGTAGAGTGGGCAGGGAGACTGCTCTCTGTCTCCAACCGTGTGTCCTTTTTGGTCAGGGACAGGGTTGAGGAACACTGTTGGAATAGTGTGAGGGAGCTGGTGCTGCTGCCAGGGTTTTAAGTGTTCTGTTGCTGAGGAGAAGATCTAGGTTTCCAGAGCTGCAAGAGTTAATAAATTTCTCCTTGCATACCCTAAATATGTTTGGGTGCTAAGTACATAGTAAATTACCCTACTTGTCATGTTGCTTCTAATAAAAAAAATGTGATCTGAGTAATTAGTGTTAATTTCAATCTTGTTAATACAAATTAATAATCACTCTGGGACTCTACAGTTCACTGTTAACCACTGGAGCTCTGTGTACTGCCTTATTGGATATTCTAGGAAGGAAGATCATGTTCAGATTATCCCATATTGAACTACAAAAACAATGATGGGGTGTCCTATTGGGACCCAGAGGTTATTCCGTGTCAGAGTCTGAGACTGAATCTTACCACTGCTGTTGTTTCAAAGTAAATCTTCCCTGTTTATGTATTTCATTAAGGTAGCCACAGTGGACAGTATTTTTGTCAGCAGGCAATAATTCACAAGATATACATTAGTAGCTGGGGAATAACTTGCTTGTGTTTGACATATGTTCACCAAGAAGTGCTATTAACTTTTGTGGGAACGAGGTGTAGCGAAGGAGTCCGTGATGAAGGCAGTAGTTGTACAATAATGTTGCACCATATCCTGGTATTAAACAATACTCCAGGAGTTGCCAAACAGCCTATACAGGGAAGCTTACTGCTATTACTTTCATGAGGAAGTTTCACCTTCAGATCTGTATCTAAACTAACGTTAATGCTTTTTTGTCTTTAATTCTATAATTATATATAGCAATCCTTTAAGTATAGCAGCACTTGGTTAATCATAACCCCCCCCCCCCAAATGTTTTACTTGGGGCGGGGGAGCCAACTTCAAAAGTGTTCAGCTTGCAAAGTTTCCTAATACAGGGTGGTGATTACACTCCTATTCAGTTAGTACACTTGATTTTGTCTTTACTATTAAAACAATGTTAAACACTTCAGGAAAAGCAAAATCAAACTGTCCATACAACTCAGTGGGGGGCAGGAGGAAGGAAATCAGGTCAGTGTCAATCTGTGGAGAAAAGAGATGATTTGAAGGTAAGTAAAACTGTCTCAATATGTAACAATATACACTGTAAAAACAGAGTGAAAACTTTGCAGAGCAGCATCTTGTGGGATTTTTATTTGTCATTGTTTGCCATGCCCACCTGAAAGCTTGAAAATTAAAATTTTTCATCCAGTTAGCAAATACATTTGGTTTGTATTTCTAATGGTAATTAAAATCGACAGTGTAGTACTTTTCATTTACCTCCTTGTAATTGACATGAGAGGTCTGTAACAGATATGGCAATTTCTTGCAATATCTTTGGGAGATCTTCTTGAATTAAGTTTAAATAGCTTTGGAGTCCACTGTATTTTAAATGCAAAGTTACTGTATTGTTGTGGGAATGTGTAACTCCCTCTCTCTAGGAGGGAGATGTGGCCCGTGTAAACCCTGGGAAGTGTTACGAGCTGTAGAAGACTATTTCATACAATGTGCCAGATGAGAAGGAACTTTTGGGACAAAGTTGTACGTTTCCTAAGAAATACCTGGGGGGAGATGAATGCAAAGTCCCACCTCCAGACTCCACCTTCTGAAGCTATCCCTGAGGAGAGAATCAGTCTGACTGATACAAAGTCTCTGAAGATCAAAGACCCCAAGTGTATAAAGAAAAGGCTAACTTATGCATAAGTGTGCTTGTTCAGAGCTAAGGCAGTTATGAATTTGATTCAGTTTGAAGGACTGATTATCTACCAGAGTGCTTGTTTTCATGTGTTCTTTGTAATGCTTTCACCTTAAGAATAAATCTGCTTGCAGAGAAAGGGCTGTGAGGTAACTTATAACTGTGGGCAATTAGGCTGTTTGCTTTGTCCTCAGTGGCTATAAAGCGCAGGCCTGTGTAGGCAGTCTGACGTGTTAGGGAACATAGTGCAGGCTGCACAATTCCTTGCCTCCAAAAACCCTGATCAGGAGGAAGAGAGACAGGTGTCTGCCCAAGAAAGGTGAGGGCCGATGAGCCCGAAGCCTCGAGTAGGTGCCCTTACTGACCATGAGGGGGAAATACAGGTGCAGTTTCCCAGAACTGTGACACTGTCTGTGTAGCCTTGGAAATAAGAACTATAACTGCTACTGCAAAAGAAGCTCACAACGTGTCTCTGTTCAATGATATGTGGTTTTTAATCTTTCTGTGGCCAGTGGCTCTTAACTTTAATAAGATCATTAAAGTGCATAGAGTCCTTTGTATCAGGTTTCAGTAACTTTAAAGCAGGTCAGAGTTGAGGCTTAAACCAAGCTATTAACGGAATTATTTTAATATAAAGATTTGTGCTAAGGCACTGAGTGGAACTAGCTAGAGTATGAGAAGTGGGGTGGGGGCGGGGGGGTGAAGCTTTCCAACATCTGTGGATTCACTTGAGTCCTGACCTGTGCAACCCCTTCTGTTTCCGTCCTGGCCTTCTCTTGAGGAGTGACTGCTAACCGTACTGTGTTGTGGTACGTTAGTGATGTGTACACGTGCAAACAAATCTTTGAAAGTTGCCACTGATTGCTGTGGTGCAATTTTTTGGGGTGCCCAGTTTGATACACCAAGGCCCCGAATCTCATTAGATGAACTATTGCAGCTCCCATAATTCAGCTGGATTTGTGGTTGCTCATCATCACTTCTGAAAATCAAGGCTATGGTGTTTCAGGTTGGCCCCTGTCAAAATATTGACATGAAATTGACACATCCAAAAGCAGGTTCCACTTTGAAAAACTTTGGCTATCCCAGGTAAGATGAAAGTATCAAACTCACTTTCCCTTTTATCCCCCAGCAATTGAATTTAGGTCATTTTATGTGAGCCACTAACCCACTACCCTAATGCACCATCCACCAATGAGTCAATAACCCTTTTACTTCAGATACATTTTTCGCCGATAATATTCTGCACAATTTGGGTGTAGTGGGGAAAGAGGATTTTGGCTTATAAAAAGCAGTGTTTGTACCTTTTTCTAACAATGTAGAAGCTCTTTGTTTAAAAAAAAAAAATCCAGGCCTTTAATCAATGTAGCTAGTGTCCACTGTGAATTAGATCTATTTAACCATAAATTGTATTCAGCAACACGATGCAATCCTTGTTACCACCCAGACCTAATTTTGCTTGCTTTAAAAATGATCATCTTCCCTCCGGCACATTGGTGTTTTGTGGGGAAAGCAATGTAATTATGATTGAGATTAAAGTAACTTGCTTTGCTATAATCTGATTATTTTTGTTTTTGTTTGAAATTTATATTCCAGTCATGCCCAGAGGCCTCACTGAAAGTTATTTCAATATTTAGAATTTCAAGCCTGTGCAATCACCATTTCCCCTGTGTGTCAATGCTAGAGCTTTCCTTCAATACAAAAAGGGTTATCCTGGCATCATCATCATAATAATAATATAATAAAAAAAGCAAGGGGGGATGGGGGGGAACAAATCTCCGCATCACTAATCAAGATGATGAATGCTTCAAAAAGCCTGTGAACAGGGGATATATTGGCACCAACCTTGCTGGTGAATCTGCCAAAAATGAGTGTCTTTTGCTACAGAAATAAGTTTGAAAAAACACGTCACCATGGTTTAATAAATCATTGTGCATATATAATCCACTGGTGAGTATGTATTATCATATCCCCAGAGGATATGAGATGTTACAGGCCCCAGCTACAGCATCTGGGCTTTTTGAGCTGCCGCAGCTTGCGTTAGGCTTTTTGAACTGGGGACCTCTGGAGCCATCTCCTCATTTTATGGATGGGGAAACTGAGGTAAGGTTGCATAAGGCCAGTGAGAGAGTTGATATCAGAGCTGTGATTAAAATGTGGGAAATCTGCACTCCCAGCGCTGAGCTCAGTTAAATTTTAAACACTAGTTTATTGTTGCCATGGTGAAAATATGAAGCAACTGAAAACAGTTTGTCAAACTTCAGAACCTAAAACTCTTTGGGGATTTTTGTTGCTGTTAGATCTCAAAATGTTGTTTTGATCTCTAGGTTGGAAGCAGAGGAACCATTCGAGATTACACAGGTTTCAATGCATCCAAGGACGCTGAAACTGTTCGGAAGGCAATCAAAGGAATTGGTAAATATGTATCGAAGTTTCGCTCCTATATTGTTACAGAAAAGCAGTTATGGTATTCTGTGTGTCAGGTTTTGCACAGAAATGCTGGAATTTGGTGTGCCATAAAAACAGACATACTGGATCAGACCAGTGGTTCATCTAACCCAGTGCCCTGTCTTTTGACAGTGGCCAATGCTAGGTGCTTGAGAGGGAACAAACAGAACAGGTAATCATCATCAAGTGATACATTCTCTGTCATCCACTCCCAGCTTCTGGCATCCCTGACCATCTTGGCTAAAAGCCATTGTTGGACCTATCCACCATGAACTTACCTAATTCTTTTTTGAACCCTGTTATGCAGTTAGTCTTCACAGTCTCCCCTGGCAATGAGTTCCACAGGTTGACACTGAAACATTTCCTTCTGTTTATTTTAAACATACTGAATATTAATTTCATTGGGTGAACCCTGGTTGTTCTTATATAAAGTAGTAAATATTTCCTTATTCACTTTCTTCACAGGAGTCATGGGTTTATAGACATCTATGATATCCCCTCTTAGTCGTCTCTTTTCCCAGATGAGACATCCTAGTCTCTTTAATCTCTCTCCTCATATGGAAGCTGTTCTGTACCCTTAATCATTTTTGCTGCCCTTCTCTGTACCTTTTCCTATTCTAATACATCTTTTATTTTTTTTTATTTTTTTTTTTATTTTATTTTTTTTTTGAGATGGGGTGGCCAGAGCTGCACACCGTATTCAAGGTGTAATGCCTCCATGCAATCAGTAACTATGATGACTGGGCAAGTTCACATTTTGATAAGGGGGTACTACTTCAACCACCTCATAGACATTAAGGTCAGAAGGACCATCATGATCCTCTAGTCCGACCTCCTGCACAATGCAGGCCGCAGAATCTCACCCACCCACTCCTGCAATAAACCTCTCACCTATATCTGAGCTATTGAAGTCCTCAAATCATGGTTTAAAGACTTCAAGGTGCAGAGAATCCTCCAGCAAGTAACCCATGCCCCACACTGCAGAGGAAGGTGAAAAACCCCCAAGGCCTCTGCCAATCTGCCCTGGAGGAAAATTCCTTCCCAACCCCAAATAAGGCGATCAGCTAAACCCTGAGCATGTGGGCAAGACTCACCAGCCAGACACCCAGGAAAGAATTCTCTGTAGTAAGTCAGGTCCCACCCCATCTAACATCCCATCACAGGCCATTGGCCCTATTTACCATGAATATTTAAAGATCAATTAAGTGCTAAAATCATGTTGTGCCATCATACCATCTCCTCCATGAACTTATCGACTTTAATCTTGAAGCCAGATAGGTCTTTTGCCCCCCCTGAAAGTCCCTGACACTAAGATCTCTGGCTAGGTCTCATCTCCATTTGAAGGGGTTTTTGCCTTCTCCTTTTCTGTTTGCTTTCAGCCAGCGCCCAGGATGGAGATTAGTTTCAGAACAAATTGACAAATCAGTGAGGACAACTTGGTTACTAAAATGCTTCCTTACTGAAGTATAAAAGTGAATAATATGCTTCTTTTCCCAGTGAATTCAAGCGAGTTGGAATAACTCGTTTTAGTTTCAGTGCATTAGGAGTTTTGTTGGGTTATGTAAAAAAAACTGGGAGTTGAACAACCTTGAGTAAAATGATTTTTCTTTCAGGGACGGATGAGAGAACACTGATCAGCATCCTCACTGAGAGATCAAATGCTCAGCGGCAGCTGATGGCTAAGGAGTACAGGGCAGCTTCAGGAAAGGTACAGCTTGGGGAGGATAGCTGACAGTAAAAATATCCTGTAGCATCTTCATTATGCAAAACTAATCTGTATGTGCACAAACCCTAATATTGCTTAATTATGAGGCAGGATATGAGAAATGAATACATCTAAGTAACTCATTTGAATTTATAGCTAGCTCTGAGAATAAAGAAGGAACGCTTTGATTAGGAAAAAACTAACCAATACAAACTCTTTTCAGTGCACCATTAAGCAATGAAGCATGTGCTAAACAAGGAGCCAAACAAGTGCCCCTCTTGTTTCAGTGTGGACTAGGCACTGAAATAAAGTAACTCTTACCATTTATTTTTGGGAAGATGACAAATGAGTTAAGGCTGGGAGTTAAAAGGTCCCTTTTCCAGCATCTGCAGTTGCCTTTTCCCGGACCAACTAAAACATGAATCTGATTCTCTGCCTCCTCCATTTTCTCTTGAGAATCAGTATATCTACATTTCTGGGGTGGGGTTTTTTTGGTTGTTTTTAAGACATAAAGTGGGCTGACCTTAATTTAGCCTTAATTTTGAAAGAGTGGAATTAGCTTTCTAAATAATAGTAGTGGTTTTTGTTTTTTCCTTTTGTTTGGAAGGAAACCTCAAAAAGCAACACAGCCATGAGCAAGATGCTTCTGAAAGTAGAAATGATTGAGGAGAAGCAGGGTGGAATTGTTCCAGTAGCAGCAACTAAACTTGCCATTTCATCTGGAAATAATGTGATCTGTGAAAGTGCAATCTAATCACCCTGGGTCTTGCCTGTTTGTTTAGGACCTGAAAGATGACTTGAAGAGTGATCTCTCTGGCAATCTGGAGCGTGTTATAGTTGCACTTGTAACACCACCCGCTGTGTTTGATGCTAAACAGCTTAAGAAATCCATGAAAGTAAGTCTGCAAGCAAATGTTTCATACTTTTGATTTAGAGCATTTAGAAAGAAGGTAAATATTTTGTAAAAAATTTCAAAGGAAATGAAATTTTTTTTTGTTTAAAATTTTCCATTACATTTTTTCCAAATGAAAAAAATATTTTAGTTTCAGTAGGGAGAAGAAAAACACTAACATATTTTTATGATTGGGGTGGGGAAGTGAGGGTTCCACACATCTGAAATGACTTTTTTTCAAAATATTTCAAAAAAGTTAAATTGAGAAAACAACAAAAAGTAACCAAAACCAAATTTTCACTGAAATCTTTGTTTTGGTCAAAATGGAATTTTTTAAAACCAAATTGAAATTGTCTCTACTCCTTAGTTTGTTATGCAAAATATCAGAGTGATGGAAAAATTAATCCATTCTTTAGGTGTCATATTGGCGGGCTATAACATTTTTGTAGTGCTTCAGTTATAAGCAGGCAGGGGAAACCATGCCACAATTTATTAGCTATTCATTGCCGGAAACTGTTTTCAATTCCTGTCTTTGTTGTAAGTGGGGATATGAGTTTGGTGTTCTGCTGCCTATTTCCATTTCAGGTCACTAAAACAACACTTAAATGTGGCATGTCTGCTCTGTGCTTGAGTCCTCAGATTAGAATGTCAAATGTGTTGAAATGTAGGAGTGACCTGCATTCTCAGAGCTGCATGTGGATTCTAGCAGAACCTGGTGTCTATTATCACTGGCTCGTTCCCTTAGTTGCAGATTTGAGAAACAGCTCATTAGGTTTAATAATCTCTTGATAGGATCAAATAACTTTTCATTCAGTAGTTAAATCTTTTCACAAACTTTATTTCCTCGCTAAAGTGAATTGCGTGAATTTTGATATTTGAAATCACAGTATTTTGGGTATTACAATGTGTGATGTTCATAATTTGTGCTTCAGTTCACTTGAAACTAATCCCCAAACAACCGCTATAAAAACTGTATTTTTTTTCCTTGTCAACTGTATGTGGTTGGTTTTGGTTTTTTTTTTGTTTGTTTGTTTAAGGGTAGTGGAACTAACGAAAAGGCACTGATAGAAATCCTAGCCTCCAGGAGCAGTAAGCAAATGAAAGAGGTATCCCAGGCATACTATACAGGTAATGCTTTCTCACACATGTATATTAATACCATTACCTGATTGCATCCTACCCAGTGCTCGATCACCTCCTTGAGGTGATCTATGAAAAGTGACTCTTTTTTGAATTTAGAAAGTTGAGCTTTAGATACAAAAAATATTTTTCAGTCATTGCAGATTCAGCGTACTGTGCGGTTAACAGATGCATGCGCTCTCCATGTAGTACCACTCCAGTACCTACAGGACTGAATTCCATGTTTAGGAACAAATTTGCTTTTTAAGAACACGCTGTGCGGGCAGCTCCTATTGACATTAGAGCCGTGTGCAAGCATCTGAGGGCAAAATTTTACCCTTGCAGCCAAATTCCAGTTTCAGATGCATGGCTTGGCCAGTAATGGATTTTTTTTTCTTCCCTATGGAATGTGGCAATGTGCTCCTTTATATCTTGCATATTAGGCTCTTTCCCTTTAGAGTTGTGCGTGCAATTACTTTAAAGTGCACAGTACAAACAGCAACTAATAGGAATGACTTTAAAATTTGTCTTTTTTCATTATAAGCTCCGCTTTCAGGAGCGAATGACTCGGCCATACAAACTCTTGGCAAATAAACTTTGGCATATGAGTCTGGGAGAATTATTTTAATAATTGATGCACTTCTGAATCACGTGTATTTACCGAACAGCATGTGTCTGAACATACCTAATATAAAGTTTAAGATGCTGCGGGGGAGGGTGCTGGTTTCTAAAAACTTTGTGGGTCAGATTCTTCTCTGCGTTCTGGCCCCTTTACGCTGCTCTTACTGGTCCATTTGTGCCATCAAGCCACTGGCTCTACCCAGGTGATGATTACACCAGTGTCCCAATCGTGAAGCTCTAGCATCGTGGTCTCCTATGCCACCCTCTCCCACAGCATAGGAATATTGAGGGGGCGTGGCCAGAGCACTCCTGTTACTCCAGTTTACCATACTTGCTCCCATAGCATAGAGCCATCCAAAGTAACTGAGGCTATCTAAGGCTGGTATTTGTTACACCAGGATTGGCGTAGAACCGGTTCCATAATATGGGAGCTTCAAACAGCACCTTTGGGACTGCCGCTCCAGTTGTATCCATCCACTGGATACCAGAGAATCGGGTCCATTGTCGTTAGTGTTTTGGAAAAACGTGCAGAACCGATGGCTAAGCATTGCACTATGGCTACATCTACGTTGTGAGCTAGGGGTGTGATTGCCATCTTGTATGTAGCTAGCTGTGCTAGCTCAGAGAGCTAGCATGAGCTTAAATAGCCGTGTAGCTGCAGTAGCACGGGCAGCAGCAGGAAGACCAAGTATAAACCTGCCTGAACCTCACAGGTATGTACTCAGGGCAGGTAAGCCATGCCACTGCCGCAACACTACTGCTTGTTCTCCCACCAGTTCTCGCTGTGCTAACGCGAGTACGTGTGCGAAGTTGGGAATCCCCCGCCCTTGCTCACAGCGTAGCCTGGGTGATTCCACTGAAGAGCTGTTTCTTTGGCATGCATAGCATCCAGTAACCTAATGGTCTCATAGGTGTTAATTCTAGGATAGACTGAGGTTTCTAAGTAAATATTTTTCAATGTTTTATTTGCCATACACATTCTCTGAGCAATTCATTGTCATGCTATTTTAAAAATACTGTCCATGTCAAGCAGAAACAAATTGTTGAAAGGCTCGTGACACCACTGCAGTAACTTTCTTGCAGCTCTCATTTTAAATGTTCATGTACCAGAACGTGTGGTGTTTGGGGGAGGGGCGGTATGTGTGTGTACATAATTACAGGAAAACTTGATTTTTATTGCATTGTTTCTCATGGTAACTCGCAACAACTCTGCTCCTTTCCCAGGAGACTAATTGCTTAGCAGTATGGCAAGTGAGATTGATTTGAACATTAGAAGAGCAAACTGTGGAAGCATATGCTTGGAACAGATACATCTCGTGTGTGGTACGGCCTTGTTTGGATTCAGACCTAGGAGATTTATAGTTTCTTGGGTGGTAGGCTAGTTAAAGTACCATATAAGGAGCAGTTTGAGTTGCCTACTGTAATGCATTATATAATCTTCCACAGGAAGCTTTGCAAACTGAAGGCAGGAGGTAAAACAAATGAAAAGCAAAAAAAGTTCCCTTTAATGAACACGTCACTATATAGTTCTGTCTGTTTGCACAGAAAAGCTCGTGGAGACGGAAGTATGGCGTATGTGAATAGGGCACTAGAATGAGAGCTGGGTTCAATTCCTACCTCAGACACAGATTTTCTTTGTGACCTTGGACAAGTTGCTTAATTTACCTTGTGCTTCAGGTCCTGTCTAAGGTGAAGATATTTCCCTCCTCCCCGAGGTGTTGGAAGGATAAAATCCACAAGTGTCTGAGACTCTTGCATACTACAGTGATGAGGGTATATCAATGGCACCATCGCTCTTTGCGGAGCATGGGGCATGCGCCAGTGAGTTATCTGATGGCTAATCAGTCCAATGCATGAGTAACAGTCCTGTCCACAGCGCACACCCACGCATTAGCAATGCTCTGAATCCAAACAGCAGATTCTTTCCTCCTCTGACGCTGGTCATCGCAAATCTTGATCCAATCCGCGTCACAATCCCTTGCTCCATCTACAAGCTGACTCCTCCAATCAGAGTGGTATTCTGCACTCCCTTCCCAGATTCTAAATGATACTAATCAGCTTTGCAAGCACCTTGAAATCTGCGCAACGGTCTGCCTTTCTGTCTAGACCCTTCCCGAGCATCAGAGTACTGCACGCTCCTCAGGATCCTGTAATCCGGCATTCACTTGACATGTCCAAGCCACCTGAGTCTCTCCTTAATAATCAACATTCCCATGAATGTCATAGCAGCACGATTTAACGCTTCCACATTTGTCACCCTGTCTTGCCAACTTATTCAAAGAATCTTACACAAGCATCTGATATGAAAACTGTTTAGTCTTTTTTGATATTTTGGCACAAGTTGTCCATGTTTGAGCCATACTGAAGAGTGGATAAAACACATGTCTGAGTATGGATTTTCACTTTAGTTGACAATTTGTTCTTTTGCCAGACAGAGCCTGGAACAATACCGAAGTTTCTGGCTGCTTTGCTGATTCTACTAGTAAGCTCAGCATCAGGATCCACATTGTTGGTAACAGAGCCAAGGTAGCAAAATTAGTCAGCGGCATCTAGACTGTCACCATCTAAGGTGATATCTGGAACTGGTTCTGAAGAGCCAAGGTGCATGATGGTCTTTTTCAAGCTTATTGCTAGCCCAAAGATTTTGCATGAATCGGAAAACTTGGTAATAAGATGTTGTAGAGCATCAACACTGAGCCACAAATGTTGCATCATCTGCAAACAGATCTTAATATTTACTTCTCATTCCCACCTCAACACACGTTCCATGATGTTCAAGAAGGTGCCTATCTTAGCACCAGAGATGATGGAGGCTTGCTTAACATTGCAAGGTTCAGAGCTAAGGTGAAGGAGATCATCTTAAGAGACCTGTTTGCAGATGATGCAACCCCTTGCAGCTCAGTGTTGAGGGCATATAAGTACCTAAATGATTAGGGAGTTATGAAGATTATTAAAAGGGTAAAAATGTCAAATCTTCCCTTGGTTCTCAAACACTGCTCTCAAGTTGGCAGCCCTATCACTTTTCATTGTAACTTGCGGTGTAACACTGCTGTCGTTGCAACACTTGAATTTATAAATGACTCTGGAAACCTAGAAATGGGGGAAATGATAAACGTTTTGTTTTGTACCAAACTCAGGCTTGGGGAAATCTTTAAAACCCTTTTTTAAGAAAAAGGACATGGTTGTAGCATTAATTATCTGTTAAATGAGCAAGTAATAGTATAATAATGGCTCAGTTTCTTTTTACTTCTCAGAATTTTAATTTCTATGTGCAGAACTCCTGCCATAGTTTCCAGGTGTGAGTTATAGGTCCCTCTTCTCCTAGCCAACATGGCAACGGCCTATCAGTATTATGGCTCCATCAGTCAGGAAGCAGGAGGTAAGAATGTCAATCAATTTAATATTTACAGAGAGAATCTAAGCAGTTGAGCATCTGCTTTGAAGCTGTAACCAGCACAGAGCAGCCTGCAAAGACCTTTGTTTCACCTAGTTACCCCTGTTTTGAGCCCAATCATTTCTGTTTGACTAAAGCATATCTTCAGTTAAGGCACCCAGTCTTGATTTGAAGACGTCAAGAGATGGGGAATCCACCACTTCCCTTGGTGGTCTGTGTGACGGGTTGGGTCACAGAAACCCCCTTTGGGACTGCCACCTGATGTGCTGAGATGACCTCTGAGCCCTTTTTCCCTGACAGCTTGGGACTTCAGTGCCCTGCCTGGTTGTGCCAGACACACTAGCCTGCTACAAACACAGACCCAGGTCTGAACCACGTCCCCCAAAAGCCACAGGCTTAACTGAAAACAGATTAAGAAGTGTTCCTGTCTCCAGCACTCCAATACCAACTCCCAATGGGGTCCAAACCCCAAATAAATCTGTTTTACCCTGTATAAAGCTTATACAAGGTAAACTCATAAATTGTTCGCCCTCTCTAACGCTGAGAGAGAGAGATGCAGAGCGGTTTGCCTCCCCCCCCCCCCCAGATATTAATCGCTTACTCTGGGTTAATTAATAAGTAAAAAGTAGGATGTAAGTGGTTCCAAGTAGTAACAGACAGAACAAAGTGAATTACCAAGCAAAATAAAATAAAACATGCAAGTCTAAGCCTAGTACTGTAAGAAAACTGAATACAGATAAAGTCTCTCCCTCAGATGTTTCGATAAGCTTCTGTCACAGACTGGATGCCTTCCTAGTCTGGGCACAATCCTTTCCCCTGGTACAGCCCTTGTTCCAGCTCCGGTGGTAGCTAGGGGATTTCTCATGACTGCCGCCCCCTTTGTTCTGCTCCACCCCCTTATATATCTTTTGCACAAGGCGTGAATCCTTTGTCCACCTCTGGTTCCCACCCCTCCTTCTCAATGGAAAAGCACCAGGTTGTAGATGGATTCCAGTTCAGGTGCCATAATCACATGTCACTGTAAGACTTCATTACCCCCTTGCCAGCACACAGGTATATAGGAAGACTTACAAGTAAAGAAGCCATCTACAGTCAATTGTCCTGGTTAATAGGAGCTATCAAAATTCCAAACCACCATTAATGGCCCACACTTTGCATAATTACAATAGGACCTCAGTTATATTTCATATTTCTAGTTTCAGATACAAGAATGATCCATACATACAAATAGGATGAACACACTCAGTAGATTATAAACTGTGTAATGATACCTTACAAGAGACCTTTTGCATGAAGCATATTCCAGTTACATTATATTCACACTCCTTAGCATATTTTCCATAAAATCCTATAGAGTGCAATGTCACAGTTTGTTCTAATGGTTAAACCCCTCACTGTTAGAAACTTGTCTGATTTCTAATTTGAATTTGTCTGGCTGTCACTTCCACCCATTGGTTCTTGTTATGCCTTTGTCCACCAGATTAAAGAGCCTGGTGTTTTTCTTCCCATAAAAATGCTTTTACACTGTAATCAAATAACCTGTCTTCATGTTGATAAACTAAACAGATGGAGCTCTCTAAGTCTCCCACTGTATATAACATATGGAAGGCATTCAGCCCTCAAGTCACTTTTAAGACTTTTCTCTGCACCCTCTCCAGTTTTTCCACATTCTCCCCCCCCATCCCCACCCCCCCAAATGTGGACACCAGAACTGGACACGCTATTTTAAGTATTGGTCTCACCAGTGCTGTAAATTATGGAGCGGAATCACTTTCCAACTCACTATTTCCTTGTTTATACATCTAAGAATTGTACCCTTGTTCCCACAGCATCACACTGGAAGCTCATGTTGAGTTGCTTGTCCATTATGACCCCTAAATCCTTTTCAGACTCACCACTTTCCAAGATACAGTCCCCCATTCTGTAGGTATGGCCTGCATTCTTTGATCCTAGATATATGACCATGCATGTGACTGTATTAAGGGGAAAAGGCTGGATTGTGGGGCTAACCTATGTCGGTGGACTGATGGATCTTGCATAGTACCATAACATTGATATGTCAGAGTTGTTGCTGGGAGGATAAGGCTACAACAAATCCGTTACTGGTCAATGATCTTCCCTTAACATCTAGATGCTTTTGCTAATCTTACCTTTGATTTTTTGTTTTTAAATTACAGAATTCAATAAAATGTTTGATTATTTTTGTTTTTAGTATATAAGAAGAGTCTTGGCGATGACATCAGTTCTGACACCTCTGGTGACTTCAGAAAAGCCCTGTTAACTCTGGCAGATGTAAGTTCCTTCAACTTAGTCAACATAATTACTGTACAGATTTGATATTTAGATTTTACTTGAAATTGTAAATATAGGCAGTCCTAGTGAATCTGACAACTGATACAGTACTTACAGGGTGTGCATAGCTTTGCTTATTTAAATTTAAGGTAAGAGAGTGGCATGGTAGGTTAGAGTACTGATATTTTCCCCTCGAGAGATCAGAGTCCCTATCTGGACTTGTTGGTTGAGATGGATTTGGTCTCCTCTTATCCTTGGCTACTTTTATACCAGTTACAGCACCATAGTTTTAGCACAAGTAACCATAACTGGCATCCTCTTCTTGGACTCTTAGCACCGTAGCAACTGGGGTGTTACAGATCAGGATTGAGGAGTTGTGTGGTGAAGCCAATGGCCAATTCATGCTGTGGCTTGGCTTTGACCTTTGCTATTGCATGCTTCATTCAGGAGTACTAAATCCAAAGTTTGAAGGGTCAGGCTCTGTCCTATCCCATAAGAAGCAGAGTGATGCGGTTTTCCTCATTCATCGCTCTCCTATTGGATCCCAGCATTGTTGATCATGATGAGGGGGAGTCACTACTCCAGGCTTGTTCGGAGTGGGGGTGAAGTAAAGAGGAGAAATAGCAGGAGTGGTGGCTTTAGCCTTAGACCACACATGGAGGCCCCAAATGCTCGTACTCAACCTTCCCCACACAATGCTTTTAATGACACTGTCAGACAAATTTTGGGCCTAGGAGGATGCTGGCAAGAGCTACTGTTTCACAATCCACAATAATTATTCTTGGGTGGGTGACTGGGAGAAGGTGTGACCATTTGAGACTTTCAAATTTTGCACTTTTATGGGCTTTAAAGTTCACTCTCCCTTATTGCAGGGCAGAAGAGATGAAAATGTAAAAGTGGATGAACATCTTGCAAAGAAGGATGCACAGGTACAGCAAAGCAAAACAGCGGCTGAACCAAGCTGCGCTTGACACGTAGATATAAAGTGTTCTCTATTGCAATACAAAATTATCTACTAAACAGCATCTTACAGGGATGGCTCACACCCAAGAAATTCAGCATTTTGAACACCCCAAAGTTGAAATGGAGTGGGCAGGGAGACCATCAGATTAGGACGTGTGTAGTTTTTTTGTTTTTTGTTCTTTCCTTCCTTCCCTATCTCCTTCCTATAACTGGCATTAGTTTTCTATATATAATCCGGTCTAGAGTACCCAGTTTTCCCAATTTCCAACAATGCATTGTTAAACTGCTGTAATAATAACCTTTGAAGTGTAAGTATTGCCATTTTATCTGTGGTGAGAGCTAACATGAACATGGGTTTCTTTGAGGGTTTTTTTTTTTAAATGGCCTATGGGGAAAGTTTCATTTTATTCAGACTTCCCATTAACCGTGTAAAACTTTGGATTGCCCCCTCCTTGCTGCCACCATGTGAGGTGCAGAATTTGGGCCCAGCAATGCTGGGCTCACACACTGCAAGTGCAGCTCATAACTCGTTCAAAACCTTCCTGGGGCTGCTGTGTGAGTGGTGCTCATGGTATCCATAAAACACCATCCCCAGTTTGGCCAGTGGGAGGATTATAGTGAAGTCTCTGTCTGAAGAAGACACCATAGCCACTGATGCCCTTGAGTGGAATGGATGGGGGGAAGCTCCAAGGAACCCCCATTCCTGAATAAGACATGTTTATAAAGTCCTGATTTGTATTTGATGTATTGGAATTAACTCTAACATTCACTTTGTGATAAATTGCATCTTTCATAAAGCAAATATTTCCATTCTGTCATTCATAGAAAAATCTCCTTCTCACTTTGAATATGAATCCCTTAATGTCTGTCTTCCAACAGTAGAAGGTGTTCCAGTGTAGGTCAGTAGACAGGCAAGTTCTGCTTTGTATGGGGGGAAGAGAGAGAGAACTAGTTCAACTTTCCAGGCTTGAGTTTCAGCAGCCCATGACAGCAACACCACAGCACTGCAGTGAAGTCCATTGCATCGGCCAGGTTCAGAATCCTGTCCTCCGAAAACTTATGGAAAATGCAGAGACTAGTTTGCAGTGGCATGGCTCAACAATCTTCTTTTGAGAAGTCTAGTCTAGTGGCCACAGTGACATTCTTTCTTTCCTTGCAATAGGTTCTCTATAGTGCTGGTGAGAAGAAATGGGGTACAGATGAAGATAAGTTCACTGAAATTCTGTGCCTTAGGAGCATACCTCAACTGAAATTAAGTATGAAATCGATTTTGGACCATTTTGTGGTATTTCTTAGTAAATGATAATTATTTTCTATAGCCAAGCATCTTTATGTGTAATTTGGATTGAGGTGCCACTCACTGTTACTGTCCCACCATCACTTCCGTGGGTCCATCAGCTTTTGCTAAAGCTTGCAGAATAAAAACCCCTGAGTTTCTAGCTCTTATGGTTGTGAAGATAGCCAGTACTGTATCTGTTCACATATGGAAGGCTGCAAACTGAAACAATAGGTCTAAGAGGCGTGTATTGTCCTTGTTGAGTGTGCCACATATCAATATGTATGTAGATTTGAAATGGGCTCTTCCTGTGTAGTTTTACTCTAAGGTATTTTCATTCCCACTTTTGCAGGAGAAGAGATGAAAGTTTGATCTTAAACCCAGGCAACAGGTCGTCTTTTACTTATCCCTGTCGCCAAAGACTGTGTGGATTGCATAGCATGCTTTAAATGTAATTGTTGGCATGTACGAATGTCATGCAGACTTGGGGACCAAGCAAGCCTCTGATAAGGAAGTAATTGTGTTTGCTATATTGTGACTCACTAAATGCATCTTTGCCTTACGGCTGATGGAATGTGCTGCATGAGACACCCTCTTTTTTCATAAAGAAACCTGGGATTGTGAAAGCCTTCAGTGGATAAAATTTGTCTCCACCCCACTCAATATATTTGAGTCATTCCTAATTTTATGATTATTAAAGCAAGACCATTAGGTAAATGGGCTAACTGAAGCGGGGTCTGACGTACCGCATTAAAGAACAGAGGCAAACTGCCTTGAGAAGGAAAATGGTGAATGTTAAAATGATGGCCCTTGAAGGTTGTTTGTTCCTTAACAAAATTTCTACATATATACACCTTGATTAGTTTAGAATGATGGCTAATGTTGCTCTCATCATAGGGTATGTGTTCATCAAAGGCATGTTCCAAACAATATTGAAGGTAGTGGAAAGACTTTCGTTAGTTTCACTACGGTTTGGATCAGACCCCAAATGGAGCCTGACGCATGAGAACATTGAGTCATTTCCTTGTGATAGTTTGATATACTTACTACGTATGTTTGGTTATCTTTTTAGCATTTGATGAATACAGGAACATCAGCAAGAAGACCATTGAAGAAAGTATACAGGGTGAAATGTCGGGGCATTTTGAGGATTTACTCTTAGCCATTGGTAAGATTCTTGGGGAGGAGGAAGACATGGCTGAAAACAAGCTGTGCCTTTTTAAACCAAAAAAAAAAAAAAGAGGAGGATAGGTAAAATATTAGTCTGAATAGTTTGATTTACAGTGACTTTAGTTCTTGCTTTTAGTGATAAGCAGTATCCCTGCATTAAGCATTGTAACACTGACTTGGGCTTACAAAGAGGAGAGAGCTTGTTAGTTCTGTAGCATATATTCAACTATGTTGATGTTTATAATTAGTACAGTGATAGCCTCTAGCAGCCCCAATCTTGGTCCAGGACTGCTTTGTGATAAGTCCTATACACCAGGCACACTCCTCATTTATACTGACTTTGCAAGTGCCAAAAAACCCTCAACCATACTTGGGGATATTTTTAGTAGTGACGCTAATGACTAATTTTACTCGTCACCAGACTTCAGCCACCCATACTGCTGAACCATTTCAAAAGCACTAGAGTATTTTACTTTCAGGGCAGGCCTGAGGGTTCTATAAAGTCTTGTTCTTAACAGAAATGCTTTAACTAAAAATCTATAGCCAGATTCACCCTTCATATAAATGGGTACATCTCTCATGGGAGTGTGTGTAACATGCATGTGGTTTACCAGCCTGGAAGAGAACGATAAAGTCCATGCAGAATTGGCCAGGTGCATGTGTGTATATACCTGACTTGTGCATGCATGTCAGTCATTTACAGGTACAAGGCTGGGCATACAATTGTATTTACCTAGCTTTGAAAATCAAGCCATGCATGTCCTGTCCATTCATAGTGAGGGCTTGTAAGCCAAAGCAAGTTATATGGTGGCATCGTTGTAGAGCAGGCCATTTAAACTAACTCTTAACTTTTTCTTTTAATAGTTCAATGTGTGACTAACACTCCTGCATTCTTTGCTGAAAGGCTGTACCAATCTTTGAAGGTAGGTTTTCAGCTTCCATACCCATTCTTGAACTCTTGTATATCTTTAAGAGAATGTCAACTTTCTAAGAGTCTGTAAGATGTCTGTAAATAATAAACATGGCACTGGTCCCTTACGACAGGTAATTCCTGGAGTTAGATTAAGTAGGACGGAGAATGCCATTTCTAAATGGAGATGCTGATTTTAGCCTAACTTGCATAATGCTTTTATATGGTGTATTGTACCAGATGGCTCTCTTTTATTTTATCAGGGTGCTGGAACTGATGAGTTCACTCTTAATAGAATCATGGTTTCCAGATCAGAAATTGACCTGCTGGATATTCGGGCTGAATATAAGAAGCATTATGGCTGCTCCTTGTACTCTGCTATAAAAGTAAGAATTATTTTAATGAACTATTTTTGCATATTGGAACAAAGTTGCCTAACAAATGTGCCACTCCTGTAATAGAATTTTTTTCTCTTTGAGGTATGTATAAAAGTTTTATATTTGGAAAGTGCCAAATGTGTTATAAGTAGAGGAGTTTGAAGAGGAGAGCAGTTTGGCTTTAGCACTTGTGTTCTGGACAAAATGGAGTAAAATGGCAATTGAGTAGGTCAGAGAGCTGGAGGCAGGAGAGGACTAGGAAATAGACAAGAATGTGTGCTATTGTGCCAGACATTTGGTGCATTTTGTAGAAAGAAGAGGCAAGACTCGATCCAGTTATATGGGGAGGTGGAGCCCAAGGTGCTTAGGAGGAAGATGGTGGTGTAATTCCCAAGGGAATGGGGTGGAAAGGAAGTGGGGGATTTTGGGTGGAAAAATAAGAGACTTCAGTTTGGTCATCTCAAGCCCACAGTGGGCAAGCTAGGCTGATCTGTCAGACAGTGAGTAATGCATGTTTAGAGACTTGTGAACCATTAGCATAGCTCACTGACTCCACGTGAGGACTCAGTGAACAGGTATAAATGGAGAAGATGAAGTACCCAGTGAAGCTCTGCAGGATGCCAGAGTGCTCCTTGGTGCTCAGTCTATTATAAGGGCAGAACAGGACCATACTGTCTGATACCCAGGACGTTTGGAAATGCCTAGCTTTGGTAAACGTCTTAACATTAAGAGAATCATTTAATCATCTGTTTTAAAGCTGAATTGAAAATTGCTAAAAGGCAGGCTTAGGACCCCGTTTCCTGATGTTATACTGCCTCTTGCAGTGACTCTTCCCACAGCTGACCTGCATCAGGGAAGCATTACACCCTAATACTAGTTTTGTGGTATGGTAGCTAATTTTCATAGTCTCAGAAGCAGATCAGGGACCATTATTAGCTATCTGAAACAGGGTAGTTGTGAAAGTCCAGTTGTGAAAGTGATGCCAATGGCTTAAAGTGACTTTGTTTAGAGATAGTTAATTCATTTTAAATACGATTGAACACAATGGTTTAGTTCTTAAAGTTATGTTCATACAACACTGACTACAGTTTCCTTCTCTTTCCAATGCCTTATTCAACTTTTTTCTGCTTTAATGGAAGCTGGAGTGGTTCCCCGCCCCCACCCCCAAATGTCACTCAGGTAGTCCTTCTGAGCATGTACCAGATATCCTTTCTTGCCTCAATGCTTTAAATCCAGCAAGTAACTGCCAACATTCTCTCATCTGCTCAAATATTTCTGAGGTTGGGAGATTAATCAGAAGTGTACTTTTAAAAAATGAATAAACAGTATTGAGTGATTCTTTTCTGTCAGCCTCTTTCATAAATTGATGCACAATGTTCTGTTGCTAGGGGCGGAACTGATGTGACAAGCCCTGTTCCATAATGTAGCTCTGAATTGCACAGTGCTGATCATCACAACTAACTGCACCATAATCATGTGGTAATCTAGAGTTTTATTAATTCTTCTTTAGGATAAAACCTAGAGTTCCATACAAAATCAGTGGGTGCCTGAGGCTTTCTCTTGATTAGGAAAAGAGCTAGCTAAGCCTGATCTTTCTTTTCCGAGTGTAGATTCAGGGTAAGGCCTTGTTGCTTGATTCATCTGGTGGAAGTTGTAGTCTGTTATCCTACATCTGCACTGGGAAAAATGGTAGCATTTTAGGTTTGGTTTAGCTAAAGCGTGTGCTAAACCTGTCCACTTTTCTTAGTTCAGGCAAAGCACGAGTTCTGAAAACCTACATGGGATTCCATTTTTGACCAATCAGCTGGTACTGATCAGTGATAAACTCACTGAATGGGCCAGAGCCCTTTAAACTATCAACTTGTTTATAACTTAATTCGTACACTGAGAAACACATAGAAATGTATGGAATAAAATGGCTAATGTCTGTAGAACACACATGCCAGGAGTAGCTAACCTTGTAGGGGAACAACATATCTTTCATACCATTTAAATATTAATCCAGCCTTCAAAGAATCTTGTCATTGTAATGTAATAATGCTACTGTGTGTTCTCTCTCTCTCTCTCTCTTCTCCCCCTCCCCCCCCAAACATTTTGAAAAAAATTATGTATTCTTTAATACCGGCACTCTGCTGCAGAGTACTCCTCCATAGTCTTAGATTCTTCTCTTCATGAGAAAGTTGGACTGGCTTAACTAAAGGTGTCGTTCTAACATATGTAGTTGAATTCATGCAAACCCATTTCTGGACACTTTTTTTTTTTTTTTTCCTTGAGTGGCTTAAAATGATTAAGCATCTGTTTGAACTAAACCAAAAAAAACCTGGCTTAAAATGAAATTGATACTCTCACAGCCTTTTACAGCAATTAGTTCAACTTGTACAACTTCCTGTGGTCAACGTTTTCTAACCTGCTGTCTACAGGCAGGCTTCTAAATCTGCATTTATAGGTTCAAAAGTGAAAATTGCCTGACTTTTCAGAATTACTGAACCCCTGTAGCTTCCTGTGATACTGGAAAGTGAGATCACACATTTAAGAGACTAAATGTAGATTTGTGGTACCTAACTTTAGGCACCGGGGCTTGAAGGTGTTGGATTTTATGTTTATGGTTAAACAATTTTCACTCAGCTACTTTCTGCCTGTCTTTGAGTACTGGTTTAGTACTGGGTGGACCAATTAAGTCATTAATTTAAATGAGTTGATTTAGAACTAAAAACCTGCCCATGGATTTAAACCAGGTTGAGGCTTTGTAAACGTAACTTAAAAAATGTGTGCTATTGCAAATGTAGATTAACATTTATAATGAACTGCGTCGTAAATTGTAGTGTGGGGGAGTGGGGGGTTTTTAATACTACTGCTGGAAGGCTCTTATGACTTCTGTAAAGCTGCTGCAGGCAGGCAACAGTACTGAAACTTAAGGCCCTAATCCTGCAAACGCTTAACTATGACTTCAGCGGCACTGCTCATGCTCACAGTTAAGCATGTGCAAGGGTGTTTGTAGTGTGTGGGGGGCTAATGAAGACTTTAGCATGAGATCTATCACTTCAAAACAAAATCGTTTGTTAATAATGCACAGTTGACTTTCAAAACATGACAGTTACCATCCTTTTTTTTTTTAAATACACATGGGCCAAAAGTTTCAAATAGTAGCCTGAAATCTGTATTTAAGAGATTTAAAAGCACAAATCCAAATGACAAACCCCTGATGGAGGAGTACAGCCTGGTAAAGCATCTCCGCTTTCTGGACCTATGGAAGTTCACTATATCAGAAGGTGGTGTTGGTTGTAAATGTAGCACAGACTATTAGGGATGTTACTGAGGCCCTGGACTTGTCTTTTTTCACCACAGATGTGCATTAAGTGTCAACTTTACTAGTAGAAAGTCTCCATGTAAATCTGAAATCCTAAGTAGGAAACGAAAACTGGTACTGAACAGCCTCTTCAGCAATTTAAAGTTACAAAATGGAGAAGGTAAAACTAGCAGCAAGTCTGATGTATCATGATTTTGTAAAATCATGATTTTTTTTTTTTTTTTTTGACACTGGTTCAGTATTTTACTGCAACCATGAGGGATTAAATCTTCTCCCAGTCAAAAAAAAAAAAAAAAGGAAGTTCAGTTATTCATTTCAGTAGTAGGATCAAGTATCTTATTTCCTCTTAACATGATGATGTTGGGTTGGCCCAAAAAGGTTGGGGGGGAAGTGTGGAGAAATCATTTTAGAAGTGGCAAACAAAAGCATACGGTGATCGTCACTAATGTCACTTTTATTTTTTTTCCTCTGCAGTCTGATACCTCTGGGGACTACAAGACTACACTACTGATGATCTGTGGAGGGGATGACTGAAAGTAAATTTCTAAGGAGCACAGGGCTATTGCTTTCCTGCTACCTACAGTAATGCTGCTTCTGAAGCTTTTTAAATGTTTAAGCAATTGTAAAATTGCAACATGCTGACTGCTTTCTCATCAAGTATCCTAATAAACAGATGTTTGTTTTAGTGCATCTCTTCCAGCTGTTATCTAACCACCTGCTGGCATCTGGATAAACTATGCTTAGACTATCAGAAGCCAGATCTTCCAGCTATACACAGTGCTCCCCTGTAAGCTAAAAGTCTGTCTGGAAAAAGTTGCCATCTTTCTACAGCTGTACAGCGTCAGAAAAAGTGATATTACCTCGGGGTGGTGGCAGAATACAAACCAATGGAAGGCCAATAAAGTTATTCCAAAGATAACCATTTATTTTGTATATTTTTAGGGCTGTCAATTGCATTTAATGCATGCAATTAACTGAAAATATTGTGTGCAGAATTTTTAATTTTTTGGCACCGAATTCTCCCAGGAGTCAATATATTGATTTCAATTACCACACAGAATAGAAAGTGTATAGTGCTCACTTTATATTTTTGATTACAAATATATGCACTGTAAAAATGACAAAAGAAATGGTATTTTTCAATTCACCTCAAAAAAGTACTGCAGTCTCTTTCGTGTGAAAGCGCAACTTACAAATGTAGATTTTTTTTAATCTGTTTTGTTACATAACTGCACTCAAAAACAAAACAATGCAAAACTTCAGAGCCTACAAGTTCACTCAGTCCTACTTCTTGTTCAGCCAATCACTAAGACAAACATGTTTGTTTACGTTTACGAGAGATACTACTGCCTGCTTCTTTACAATGTCACCAGGTATTTGCATGGCACTTTTATAGCTGGTATTGCAAGGTATTTACATGCCAGATATGCTAAAACATTTGTATGCCCCTTCATGCTTCAGCCACCATTTCAGAGGACATGCTTCCTGCTGAAGATGCTAGTTAAAAAAAAAATGCATTAATTAAATGACACATTTGTCCCCTGAGGAGTTAAGTGTCTCATGCTCTGTTTTATCCACATTCTGCCATATATTTCATGTTCTAAGAGTCTCAGATGATGACCCAGCACATGTTCTTTGTTTTTAAGAACACTTTCGCAGCTGATTTGACAAAACACAAAAGGTACCAATGTGAGATTTCTAAAGATAGCTACAGCACTTGACCCAATCTTTAAGAATCTGAAGTGCCTTCCCAAATCTGAGAGGGACAAGATGTGGAACATGCTCTCAAGACTTCTGAAAGCAACATTCCGATGCAGAAACTACAGAACCCAAACCATCAAAAAAGAAAATCACCCTTCTGCTGGTGGCATCTCAGATGATGAAAATGAACATGCGTCAGTCCACACTACTTTGGATCATTCTCAAACAGAACCTGTCATCAGCATGGATGTATGTCCCCTGGAATGGTGGCTGAAGCATGAAGGGTATTTAGAATGTCTGGCACATAAATGGCTTAATACTGGCTACAACAGTGCCATGTGAATGCTTGTTCTCATTTTCAGGTAACGTTGTAAACGAAAAGTGGGCAGCATTGTTTACATTTATGGGAGATAAACTTGTTTGTCTGAGCGATTGGCTAAACAAGAAATAGGACTGAGTGGACTTGTAGGCTCTAAAGTTTTACATTGTTTTGGTTTTGAATGTAGTTACTTTTTGTAAATCTACATTTGTAAGTTCAACTTCCATGATAGAGATTGCACTACAGTACTTTTTACAGTGCAAATATTTGTAATCAAAATTAAATATAAAGTGAGCACTATACACTGGGTTCTGTGTTGTAGCTGAAATCAATATATTTGAAAATGTAGAAAACATCCAAAAATATTTAAATAAATGGTATCCTATTATTTAACAGCACGATTAATCACAATTTTTAAGTCACTTAACAGCCTTTTATTTATTGTGTTAGCACCTATGAGCCCTGCTCAGGAGCCAACACCTTATTGTGCTAGGTACTACACAAATGTGGCCAGATGCTGCAGGAGCTGAAATGGTTGGAGACCGCAGACAGTTTATACACTTCAGCAATGGTTGACCTAGCATAAATATGGCCAGTGACCTGGACATTTAAATACAGGACACACAACAAAGGTGGTTGCAACAAACAAATCAGGTGGTACAAGGTAACAATGAGACAATACTGGTCAGCATATGTAGCCTGAGACTGGAGACAAAATGTGATATGCGATGCAATTTCCATTAGTGTGATCCGAGAGGACTCAAACAAATCAGAAGCAGGTACCAGTACAGCATACAACTGACCTCTACTGTCGTCTGCCTGCCAAAGGCTATGCCATTTGGGAGAAAGATGGTAGAGGGGTGGAAGGACATAAGTGGACTGGGAGAAATCCCTTTGCACCTTAGTCTGTAAAATCATGGTGGACACAGATCTCCCTGAATTTGTCTATTTTCTGAATATCCTATTAGTCTCACTACACAGAGCTCATGTACATTCCTGACCAAATAAGTAGGTCAGAACCTATACAAGGGACATTTCAGATGAGAAAACTGAAGTTGTTCACTTCAAAACATTCTTAAAATATCAACTGGTAAACAAGTGAAACTGGAACTGCAGTTGGACTGACACTGCTAGGACTGAGACGACTGAAATTGGTTTCTTCTCTCAAAACCAGAAATATAAGTGCAGCCACTGCAATTCACTTCCTTAATCCTTACTGTGATGAATAAGGCCTGTTGGTAAGGGTGAACAGTTGTTGCCGTGTGGTTTCTGGAGTTTTTGCTAGGCCCCATTGGTTGTTGACTTAGTGCAGTTTTATGCAGCTTCCACAAGGTGGCAGGCTCAGTTAATAGGGACTTCTAATAAGCAAAATTGGGTTTGTTTGTTTTAAGAAGTCATTTAAATTTTTTGAGTTGTGGGGTTTGGGGGCTTTTTTTGTCATAGGTGAATTCAACACAAAGTTATAGTTTAAAAATGGTTGTAGGAGTGGTTTTAGTGATTGACTGGTTTCAATGTATACACGTGTCATCAGAATTTTAGAATCCTCCTATCCCCAATCCTGTTCCATTAAGAAAACACTCAAATTCATAAACTTTCTGGCCTGGCCACTCGACACATCCTGTGTTCCAATTTTTTGTCCCATACCTGATGTTGAGGCAAAAAGACCACAGAGGATGGAGAGAGGGACCTTAATAATGTAAGTGCACAGATGTATTTTAACATGCAAGTTAATGTTGTATGCAGCAAAACTCAAACTACTAAGAATAGGAATTTGTATAAATACCCGCACTCCCTTCCCTCCGAAATGGGTTGGGCTTCTTTAGAAGGGCAGTGCCACCTGTTTTTTCTTTCTCTCTCCCCCCCCCCCCCTCCCCCCATGAGACTTGGCAGCACTGAGTGGGAGCCAACTTTCCTACATCAGAATGGTAGGGTTACATGGCATGGTTCAAAAGTCTTAAGTTATTACACTATAGCTTTGTCGTATCTACAAGATACTGGTTTTTAGCAAATTCCTGTTGTGGTCTAAAACCTTGCTCAGCTGTAGAGAGACTTTCTAATTCATCTAACCCTGGACACTTCGGCCAGTCCTAAACAGCATGTAACATGAAAAGTTCTCATCACCCTGTCCTTCAGGCTTCAAGCCTAGCATGACCATGCTAGTATACATTACAGTAGGAACTGGAGTACAAGAGGACTTAGTTTTGGAAGTGTCCATTTTGGGATACTTAAGCTCCCTGGCATCACAAGACCAAGCTACAGGATGATGATTTTTATGGTCCAGTTACTGGACTGGGAATCAGGAAATAACTTAATCTGTACCTCAGCTTCCCTTTTTGTGCCATGGGGAGTGATATCTTCACAACATTCCTGTTAGAAGTTGTTTGCAAAGCATATGGAGATCCTGGGATGGAAGGTGCAATATGTGAATGAAGTGTTATTAACATCCTACCAGGGACAGCCCAATCCTTGTGCAGTAAATTTATGTATTGCACTACATTTTACCATGAATGGGCCTTTCAGATGAGTTAAACACCAGACATCATCTGTGGATGCTATATATCGTGGCATGCTTTAAAATGATGCTTAGCTTTTGGTGCTCACTTAGATTTGAACTTATCTCGTATTCCCCATGTCTGAGTAACTTTGACCACTGATAGTCTGATATCAGAAAAATTATTTCTAAATCTTTCATTAAATTGTATGTATTTTCTAGTACTTTGGCATCGTTACCCAGTTCTTGTTTTTCCAGCTGCAACATCTTAGACACTACACTTTATTTCTTCCAGAATTTTAGTCTGAAAAACAATCACAAGAACAACACTGAAGCTTTCTAAATGTTTACATAAAGATGAAGCTTTGTCTCATGCTTTGGGCTTACTGGACTTCAGAATAATTTGAGCCAAGGCTTTCAGTATAGCTCTGTGTGGATATCTCAAGGCAACCCAAGGCCGGCATATAGGACAAAGTGTTTTCAGAGGTAGGCTAAGTTTGCTTTCTTCTTTTGTAAGCAAAGACTATCAGTTAACACAATGGCCAAAAAGATAATTTCTCAACTAAATCATAAAAGTTTTGAAATTCTGTGATTGTCAGTACTGAATGGTTTAACTCTAGATGCAAATTGTATGCAGCACAATGCCCATGTCTTGCATTAGATTTTCTCAGCCATTCTTGTACACCAGAATAGATTCCACTTATGTTCATAGGGCCATTCAGCTTCCTGTCCTTGTCGTCGTCTCAGTAGTCCTAGACCATTGTCTTCCATACTCTCAAAATTATTCTCAGGATTAGGACCCGATTGTCCACTCACATAATGAAATCCTGGAAAGCTCTCATTAATATTTATTTTGGCGGGATTCCTTTTGTCTTTTTCTATGGCAACCTACCGAAAACCTTGGCTTATTTGGTTGACTTTGGATAAGTCCTGGGGTGTGTTGATTATCGCGGATTCTTGATGTCCTTAATTTTCTGTAACCTGGTCTGATAGCAACCATATGATCTTGTTTTGAATTTCGGGGCTGAGGTTCATTGTCGGGCTGTTTGGCTTCCTTTATGAGTTCTTCAGGACCAGGAGCATATTTGGCCAATAGTTCAACAGTAGACAAAAAGCTGCCATTGTTTGTTGGTGAAGCAATCTTCCTTTCCTTATTTTTGATTAAAGATCTTCA